GTATTATGGAGCTTTGCTTTAATTTTTGAAAGAGGTTGCAAGGATCAAAGTATCTGTCCTTTGAATCCATTTTGACTCTTGCTAAAGGAATTATGGCATGGCCTGGCTTTGCGTCTTACTACTTACTTACGTGACGTTAGGCAAATCACTAACACTGTGCTAATAAGGAACTGGAACTAGATTTACCACTCGTACCCTCCAATTCGAAAATCCTTTGATTTCATATCCCTTTATTGACCGTGTAAAATATAATACCATTTGGTTTTGATCTAGGTAGGTGATATGTTATTTTAGCATTTGGAGTTTACTTTCTGTTACTTACCAATAATAAATGAAAAGCAAGTTAGAATGGTGCATGTGTATATACATGTTACCAAGTTTTTAATTTCTTCATTTTTCATGCTTCTGGATACATTTCTCATAGAACTGAGTCTAAATTTTGGTGACTGATTTATACATTCCATTGTAAATTAGAAATTGCTGGAGGGTAGTTAACGATATATCTATAATTCGGTGGTTCTCATCATTATTTGTAGTTGACTTTCAGTAGATGATATTAAAATAAGCGCATCTCTTGATGGATGAATAGACTTTTTTTAATTTAACAGACTTACATAGCAAGTATAAAAGTTTTTTGGTAAGTAGTTCTTCATAAAGTAGTATTAAATTTATGAAGCACATTTCGTAGCTTTTTTCTTTTGATCATTGGATTGTCCTGATGATTATGGTGCTAGAAATACTATTCCAGTTTTATAGAGGAGGAAACCAAGTCTGTGCAACTTAGTCACACCGTTCATGAAATGCAGAGGTAGAGGTGGGCCTCAACATCTAGCATCGTGATTTCAGGTTCATTATTACGCTTATAACTTTATCTCATTGCCATTGAGTCAATTCCAATGCATAGTGACGCTATAGGACAGAATAGAACTGCCCCATAGGGTTTCCAAAGCTGTAATCTTTACACAAGCAGACTGCCACATCTCTCTCCTGCTTATATACTTTATTGCCCTTTAATTATGGAAATTTTATAAAATATTATACACTATAAAAAGAGTATATAAAAAAGAGTATATAAAATATCTAATGTCTCTGATTTTTAGTATCAATTATATATGTTATCACCTGCATTCTCTTTTTTCTTACAATGGAAGATGACCTTATGGTTTATTTATTTTTTGTTTTATGATATACAATAAGTAGCTTTCAGTTTTCTGTTAACCAAAAAAAGAGAAAAAGAAAAAAGGTAGCAAGACATGGTTATTTATCTTAGGTTTCATATTCAAAATATGTTTTATTTTCTACATTAACAGTGAAGGTGTTTAGTATTTTTTTAAATCTTAGCAATTAACCTTGTTTGGCTTAATACTTCAGATTTCCATTTTCAATTTTTATATTTGTGGTAATCTATAGATATCTTTGGGTTGTTCCCAACTTAATTTTTGAAGAAAATGCAGTAGTGGAAAAGTGAGTATGTAGGTTTATGTTTTGTACCTTTATATAATCTTAAACTAATATTTACTTTTAAAAACTTTACATATTTACACTTCTTGTGACATACATTCATGCCTGATTAAAAGCCCTCAACAATTGAGTGGAGTGCCTCCAAACCAATTAGAATTGAAAGTATTCTGTTTTAAAGGTTCCTTTCCTTCAATGGAAAAGTGTATGTACATGTTTTTTTCAGTTGTAGATAATTCATTAAAATTATCACACTTTATTTCAGAGCACTTTAAACTATGTACTTGTTGTTCCAGGCAATTTGGAAATCTTAAGTTTTTGTTTTAAATAATAAAATGTAAACCTCAGCAGTAAACTCATTTTAGCTACTGTGTTTTATGAACTGTGGGAGTTTGGTAATGAGGCAGTAAGAACTTGTGTTTCTTATTGGTTGATGTATTTGCAGATCCGAGCTGTGACTTCTTAAAATTGTGTCTCTCCAGCTCTGCTTAACTCTGGTAATTTTGTTCTAAGCCACAACTGCTGTAAGTACAATTTAAAAATATTTTGGCTTTGACATTGTTTCTTTTTTTCTTTTTTCTTTTGGTACTACAGTGTGTTCAATGGAATTCTGTGACTAATGAAATCTTAACTATTTTGATTAGACAATGAAAAAATAATTCTTGTTATAGCAGCAGTGAATTCATTTATTGAAGTTCTTCCAAAGGATTATGTACGTAGCAAACTATATGAAAGAATTGTAGTGTTCTTCTTACAATGATGCCTGACAGGATTTCAGTTAACATTGTCAAAAATCACTGTATGAATGTACAGTTGCTCAGTATGACATTTGTTCATATATTGGGTAACGAAGTGTAGATTGGACTGTCGTCTGCCGGTTGGAAATGCTCCAAAAACAAGGAGGCATTTGTACATATGCGTATGTTGGCAGGGTTCCCTTTTCTCCTCTTGTCAAAGACCATTTTATTTTTATAAAGATATGTTTGTATCTGTTCTACAATATGGCATGGGAAAAATATACCAGTTGTGTATTGGAGTTTTTTGTTTTACTTTTTTGCAGGACAAACAATGTTTGTGTCCTATTTACTTATTAAGTGCTTTTCATTTTTATATTGGGAACTGTATACGTGAATATTATGGGAAAAAGTTAAATCTTTTGTAACTTTGTGTAACTAAATCTTCAAGGTTGTATAGGTAGTAGGAAGTTGAAATATGAATATTAAATTAAGTTTTAAGTTGGGAGGAAAAGTTGAGAATAGTATATGGATAGCAAACAGTGTTTTGCACTGCACATAGGACATGAGCAATCTGTCATGTTTGCTAATGCCACAATGAAATAAAAAAGCCTTGCGTATGAGATTAAAAATGTGCTTAAGCATGGTTTCTGAACAATCAGTAGATAGGGTCTCTGGACTAAAATTGTATCAATTCACTCACTATATTTAAAGGTTCATAATATCACATCTGAATTTTTCACTTACATAATAGGTGTTTTATCACAAAACTGCAGATACTAAAGTT